AGCACATGGTTAAAGTGCTGGGCCATTAATCAGAAGGGTGGAGATTGAAGTCAACCCAGAGGCTCCTTGGAAGAAAAGCCTGGTGGTGACTGACTTCTGAAAAATCAGCCACTGAAAACCTATGGAGTTTCTACTCCATATTTTACTCTGAATATGGGGTCACCAGACTTGGACTCAACTAGATAGCTGTTAGAACTTGACAGGGATCGTGTAAAAGTTGATTGCATAATGCAGTTAAAACACTTTCGCATAGGGCCTAGCTCATAGGGAATACTTGGTAAACACTGACTGTTACGGCTGTTACTGTGAGAGAAGGCAGGGAGGTTTCAGAGCTTTGTGCTAAGACTTCAGGGATGCTCTTAGGGAGTGAGACCTAAGGTCTTTATCTGGCCCAGGCTTCTTAAGTGGCTTATGGGCTGCCCGCTTAGTTCTATTTTAGATTCTCACTTACCTCTTGAGTATCCGTTTTCTTTCTGGTCTTTTCTTTCTTTCTTTTATAGGCTGCAGATCCCATTTCTGTCCTAATCTTTGGTAGGGCTGAGAAGGGTATGATGGATGATGGAGAATGTTGGCTTAGAAAGAAAGATTATGATGCAGAGTAAAAATCTGATTTTCATAGAATGCCAAATGGATATTATCCCCCTTCTATGATGATTAATAGGACCTGGTGAATCCAAGTTCCTGGCAGTGTTTGATTAGCACCTGATGAATTTCTGGGCTTGGTGCTGAGAGCAGGGTGTACTGTCCTAAAAAGCATCTGCATTTAGCTCAGGACTTAGACTCCAACCAGCTGTGTGTCCTTGGGCAAGTCGTGTTCCCACCACAGTCCTTCTGTTCCTCATCTGTGAAATGAGGAGGGCGGACTAGAATGATCTCCAGGGTCTGTCTTTCCATGCGCTAATGTTCTGTAGTTCTAACATAGAGAAATCTGGGCCTCATTGACCAAGCACACCATGCTGTTCTCTCAAGGGGATGGATGCTTGGCGCTATCGCAATTGCTAAAAAGAACAGGCTTCTGAATTGTAGCCAGAACATAATGAATCCCATTTCTGTAAAACAATGATGATGGCAGACCAGTCATGTAGTTGGTTTGTTGACATGGCTGGTTGATCTGGCCCAAGATCCTCTGCGACGGATATAAATGTGAGACTCTGGCTAAGGAGTTTAATGTGGCGCCTGAAGAACTTCCGAGGAAAGCCAGGTGTGTGCGTCACTGGGCTGGTTTCACCTTCTCCTGGAATGTTGGGACTTCAGCTCTGCTTGATGTACACAATGGTTTAAGAGGTAGAGCCTGCACAGGTTCCAGACTGTCAGTGTTGGGAGAGGGTTCTTGGCACCACTTAGTTGAGGGCCCTACTTTATAGATGGGGATCCCAAAGAGTAGAGAAGGAAAATTGCTTGCTCAGAACCTACAGCTGGTGGACTGAGATCCACGGAGGCTTCTGGATTTGGATACCCTTCTTCTGACACCCCTCCCAGTGGCTCATACCTTCTCCTGTTAACCAGCTGCTACTGACTGATTTTGACTCCTGGTCGCCCCATGTGTGTCATGATGAATCCAGTGTAGGGTTTTCAATCACTGATTTATATAGTTGTTGCCTCTCTTCCCAGACACTTCTGGGTGGATTGGAACCCCCAAACTCCAGCCTTTTGGTCAGCAACTGAGTGCTGAGAGTGTTAACCATTTGTGTTACTCAGGGACCTCTTAGAGTTTGGCACTTTTCCTCTTCCCTGGTTTCCTGACTGGCCAGTCTGTCCCCTGTACGCGAAGGTGTATTTGGCAGTCTCTCCAGCCTGTCATCAGACTTTGTCTAATAGGCTAAGGAATTTGGCCTTTGTCCTGAGGAGCCAGAGGGACTCATCAGAAGTGGCACTGTAAACATTAAGGCATTTATTGAGACCTAAATGCTGGCAGGAGGGCGGAGGAAGGACAGCAAGCAGAGCATATCTATAAAGGACCCTGTTTGCAAGGAATATAACCCTCCTGGATGGATGCACAGGGGAGTGACTTGGTCTGATGTTGCAGATGAAAATCCAGAGAAAGTGGATGGATACAGGGAGGAGGCTGCCTCAGAAACCCAGCAGAAATAGTTGGGCTGGAACTGCGTGCAGAAGGATGGAAAGGCGTTTGTTTTGAAGATACAGTTATAAGGCTGGTCACTGGTTGGACAGTGAGAAAGGAGAGCTGCTATGGTTGCAGGACTGCAGGGACAGTCTAGGTGTCACACAGGCAGGGCCATTCATCCTGAAGTAACCTTAAGGGGCAGCCCAGAACACAGGGGCCCAGGTGCCTGGGGGGAGGGCAGGGTCTGTTTTGGGGTTGATCAGCCGATGGAGTGCTAGAATGTCCAGGGTCTGGTCCTGCTGCCAAGGAGCTGAAGCATGCGATTGCTTATGGGAAGATTGTGTGACCACAATTTTTGAGCAGAAATATGCCTAGAGTTGATCATCTCCCTAGTGAAAAAAGTAAAGACCGGAGAGGAAGGGGTCATGGAGGGTGTATGGTCATGTTTCAGTCCTCCCACCCCCATGACCAAGCCTTTCACTTGCATCATCCTGGTTTTACACAAAGGAACCTGGAGGGACCAAATGGGTCAAAGTCATAGCCCTTTCTGTCAAGGAGTATACAAGATAATTGAAGGCTGAGGGAGAACTAGGAAGCAAACCGGAAGCAGCACAACAGCCAAGTAGGCAGTGAATAAAGAGGGGAAGCTTTGGAACTGGGAGTTCAGAGCAGGGAAGGCCTTCTGGAAGAGTCAGGTCTAGAGATGTTGAAGACAAGAGAGCATTTTTTTTATTTAATATTTTATTGTGTGTGTGTGTGTGTGTGTGTGTGTGTGTGTGTACCGTCAAATCAAATCTGACTGGTACAGAAGGAGATTGTTCCTCCTTCTCCAACAGAGCATCTGGTGGATTTGAACCATGCACCTCTGGGATTGCAGTACACCTTCTTGCCACTAGGCCACCAGAGCTCGCCATAAGAGAGCATTTTTTTAAGTAGAGTTAGACAACTTTATATTATATAGGCTTCCAAATGTTCTTTTTTCCCCTCACTTTGCTATCTGTTTTTAAAAAGGTGACATTAAATATATTTTGCCACTAATTTAAAGATTTTTGTGGGTAATTTAAAATAAATGTTTTATGAACTTTAAAAAAGAGAGACCAAGACAGCAGAGGGACCTGCATATGCAGACATTTAGAGCTAGAGAGCTTGGAAGTGCCCTAACGACACTCCACCTCTAGGCCAGGTTTGCAGTGTTCTTGTGGGCCTTTTGCTCTTTGTGAGCTCCAGCAGCTTGGTCAACAGGACAGGATGATAACATAGCCCCAGGGGACTGGGAAGTATTTCCCAAGACCCAACTCCTCTTCTCCAGAGGAATGTTCCAGGTTTCCTAGGAAGAGATGTTTGTGTCTTCAGACCCCACTGGGCTCAGTTCCCTTAGTTGTGGGTTTGGGATTTCGGAAGTTCTGCACTTGCCCTAAAAAGATCCAGAGCAGAGGGTTTGTCACTGGAGGGTGCGGAGGAGAGGCCAGTGCAGGAGGCAGAAAGGCTAATAATACCTGTTGCCTGGAGCTGCCCAGCTGAATGGAGAAACCCGTAGAGGCCACAGGCTACAGTCAGCTTCCTACTCACCCTCTTCCCCAGCTGAGCCTCCACAAACTGCCCCTTGTCTCCAGGGTGGGATGACTTAGGCTGTGGAAGAGACCAGAAATGCCAGAAATGCTGGCATTTCTCTTGAAACTCTGAACACTCAAGGGTTAAATCTTCTCCAGGATTCATCAGCAGGCAGGGTCCCCAGGCATCAAGAGGGTGGGAGCCTGCAGAGCCCAGCCCAGGAAGGGGCACTCCCAGGGTAGAGAGAACTGGGGCTCAGAGGGGAATGAGACCTGTGGGCCAGCCAGGCCCAGCCAGGAGGGAAGCCCAAGGGTTAACAAAAGCAGCAGGGCTGATAAAATGCCCCAAATTCCTGGTCCTGCCTCCAATGGGGAGGGTGTCTGGCAAATGTCAACGATAAAAAAATACATTTTAATGGCACATGGTATAGCCGCTACCGTGGGGTGCAGCCAGATGGAGCAGGTTTGGAGCAGCAACTACTGTGTGTTTCTCCCTGGGGCTCCAGAGGCCAAGTCTCTTGGGCTCTTTGCTTAAGCCTTGCTTAGCTGGGGGACCTGCCTCCCCCAGCTTCGGGTGCCTTCAAAGGACTCTGGGGCCCTTGAATCCCCGGCCTTTTGAGCATTGTTTAAAAACTTTGTGTCATGGCTGGATGGGTTTCTCCAGGCTGAGTTGTCTTGGGCAAGTCCAAGGGCAGGATGCATCCTGGTCTCCCCAGCATTCCCACAGCAGAGCCCTGTGAATAAAGATGACTGAGGGGGTGTGGGGTAGGTTTCCTCAGCTCCTGCCCAGCCTCCATTCTGCAAATATCTGGACTCTGAAGCTGCCTTGGCAGGTCACACGTTAGAGGGACTTGGAGGGTGTGAGGAGTGGGCAGAGAGGTAGCACTGACTTCAGAAGCAAGGAGAGATCAGCTTGGACAGGAAGAACCTGAGGGCGGTGAGCTATGTGTTCTAATCCCATTTTACAAATATGAAACTGAGGTTCATATTTGATGATGGGCAGTGTGTCCCTGTTATATATAGGGTCAATGTGAATTGTAGTTGATTTTATGGCAACAGCCACTTCCTTATACTGCATTCCCTGGGGATGTCTAAACTCTTCAGGACAGACTCTGAGATCTGCATCCCCAGTGAAACTGTTTGTATTATCAGGGAGGTGCTGGGATCAGGGATTAGGTGCAGGCATAGACAGGCAGGGTGGTGTTCCTGGAAGCTAAATCTTGAGTCTCAGCACTTTGGGATCTTTCTGAGCTCTGGCCTGGTGGTCAGGCCATGGGGCTGGGCTTTTAGGAGAAAGGATGCAAAGCCAGGCCAGGGCCACCTTAGTAAGGGCAAGGACCAGAGAGTGGGAACCTAGAGCTCAGGGTGAGACCCTTCTCTTCCAGATCATACTCAACTCCATGCACAAGTACCAGCCGCGTCTGCACATCGTTAAGGCTGATGAAAATAACGCTTTTGGCTCCAAGAACACCGCCTTCTGCACCCACGTGTTCCCAGAGACCTCCTTTATCTCTGTGACCTCCTACCAGAACCATAAGGTACGGCCACAAGCTCCACAGACCCCACCACTAACATGGCCGGCGTTATTGTCTGCCTTGGAGAATCCGTCCAGAGCAGGAACCAGAGCAGTGAGCAAACCACACAGTGTACTCACTATTAGAGACACAAAGAAATGACAGACGGTGTAGTTCAGACGGTAGACAAGGTTGACAAGTGTAGAAAAAGTGTAGTGCCTGCTCTGTGGGTTGAGTGTTAGACTTTTAAGAGACAGAATCTTCTATCTCTGGAAGGGTTCTAGGTAGGGAGGGGTAGGCATTAGGGAGCATGACCCTGGAGTGTTAGCTGCTGTGGGAGCAGCAGGACTGAGACCCCTTCCCAGGCTATGGTCACAGGTGCCCAGGATGTCCCAGGATGTCTACTTCTTACCTGACTCCTTGCCCCTCCCCAGCTCCACCTTGTCCAGTCCAAAATACCCCTGACTCCAGAGCAGACCACCCTCTCCTGTTTCTCCCTTCTGCCCATGCTCTACCTTCCCAGGGCAATTTTCAAGTCTGGTGCATCACAGGTGGTGAGGTGGGCAGGATAAGGTGGGGAGGGGTCACAGACTCTAGGCCATTTTAGGCCGAAGAGTGACAAGTTTGTGTTTGGAAGAATTAGTCAGACCCTGCTGTGACATTTGCAGTGGCCAGGGCACCAGGTCAGAGAGCCTACTGGGAAGAGGTTAGAGACATCCAGGAATGTTGAGGGGCTGAAGTGAGGTGGTGCCGTGTGGGTGGAGAGCAGGAGGAAGAATCTGAGGGTGTGGAGCAGGTAGAGTGAGTGGGGAAGAGCCCAGGATGAGCCGGTGTGAGCCCCTTCAGAGGACTATGTGCCTGGGCTGGCTCAGGGTTGGGCTGTGGCCTCTGAGTTTGAAGGTCTGCATGCACCTCTCCCCTCACTCCCCTTTTTCACAAATGAGGAAGGTGTCTAGTGCCTTTACCCAGCCCCCTCATTCACCTCACTCATTCCTCCTCTCTGTCTTCTCTCTAAATTCTTCCTCAGTCACTGCCAGAGTAAAGCAGCTCTGATAGTGAGGGGTGAGGGCATGAGGGAACACCTCTGGAGGGAGAAGCAAATCGCTGAATATTTGTTGTCTGCAAACAGTATGTTGGACTGCAGACACCAAGCCTAGAGGTGGGGTGGGGAGAGCTACTGAGGTCTAGAACCCTAGGGCCCTTAGGGGTACCACTTTCTCCCCCATGAATTCTGAGCATGCCTGGCATGGGGTAGGAGGACCAGAGGCTAGGCCAGTTCTGCTGTAACTGTTCTAAGCAACCCTACCGTGGGCCATCTCCTGACAGATTACACAGCTGAAGATTGAGAACAACCCTTTTGCCAAGGGCTTCCGGGGCAGTGATGACAGTGACTTGCGTGTGGCCCGGCTGCAGAGGTGAGGCCACTGGTCTGGGGTGGGTGGGTAGTTGGGGTTCAGGCACACGGACTCAGTGACCCTCAAGATGCCTTTATACTCTTTTTGTCTTGCTCATTGTCCTCCCCACCCCTCCAGCAAGGAATATCCTGTGATTTCCAAAAGCATCATGAGGCAGAGGCTCGTCTCCACCCAGCTCTCGGCCAAGCCCGACGTCAGCCCCCTGCACGGCGCCCACCAGGCCCTCCAGCACTATCAGTACGAAAATGGGGCTCACATGCAATTCGCTGCAGCTGAGCCACAGGATCTGCCCCTCAACACCTTCCCAACCCAGAGGGACTCCAGCCTCTTCTATCACTGCCTGAAAAGACGAGGTAGCTCCTTTTGGGTTTGAAGTCCAACAGAATCTGACAGAGGTGGGATTAAACTGACCCCACAAAAGCTCCTCACTGTGAGGAATGTTTGGGCCTGTGTGGATGTGGAAACCCCCTCCCCCCCCCCCCACACACACATTACTTTTGTGGCCCTTTCCCCAGGGGTAGGGATACTGGTTCTCTTCTTTAATGGTGTCCCCAAACACTGGACCTCTTTCCCAGTTCCAAGGGTTGCTTTTTGATCACTGCTTTGAGAACCTCCATGAAGTGACAGAAGACAAGTCAGCTGGGCTCTTGCCAGGAAGTGAAGGAAGCGCCAAAGTTTCTGTCCAGAGATTTCTGGGTTATAGCTGTTTATCAAAGCAACCTCAAACTCAGGACAGGGACAACCTGGTGTCATGTGTGCTGGCCTCTCCCTGCCATCATACCAGGATTTCAGAGACTTTTTGAGGGTTGAAAAATGCTATTGCTGACACAGATCAGGGTCCAGGAAAGCAAGCCAAAAATAGACTGTCTTGCACCTTTTAATGAAGAAGTAGAGACTTGAGCTGGGATTCAGAACTTCTGTGTTCAGGCGCCAGATCTCAATTTTTCCACCTGTAGAGTAGGGACTCGAAGTCATGAGGTTTGAATCCACCAGCTTCTCTGCAGGAAAAAAAATTGCAATCTCCTCCTGTGTGATTTATGCCTCTGAAAAACCATTAGAGGGTCAGCTATGGTTCAGTTCTGACTTGATGGTACACAACAAAAACAGCAGAGTAGGGATGATTACTCCGTCAGAAGACTTATCAAGACAACTATAATTCTGTTGAATTTAGGGACTTATCCGCCAATCTAGAATTTTCTCTCAGCTTGGCCCCCTGGGGCCAGCCAGGCAGAGCTCTGAGTATCCCATACACAAGTTCCATTAGAACCCAATGACCTAGAGCAGGGGTCAGCAGACTGTGGCCCTTGGACCAATTCTAGCCTGCTGTCTGTTTTTGTATGACCCATGAGCCAATAGTGATTTTTCTATGTTCACATTTTAAATATTTTGTTTTTGTTTTTTTTTAAATAAAAAGAGGAATATTTTGTGGCATGTGAACATTAGATGAATTTCAAATTTTAGTAACCATAAATAAAATTTGATTGGAATGGAGTCATAGTCATTTGTTTATGTGTATCTTCTGTGGCCACTTTGTATGACAACAGCAGAGTTGAGTGGTTGTGACAGAGGCTGTATGGCTCACAAAGTCGAAAATATTTACTATCTGGCCCTTTACAGAAAGAATTGGCTGACTCCTGACCTAGAGTGACTGGGCCACCTGCCAAGCCCAATAATTTCGTTGCAGAGGGAAGGGAGGAATTTGGAGAGAAGGTTGAGAAGAAAGATGAGTGAGGGATAAATATGAGAGCTGGGTAAAGTAGAAGGAAGGAGATTCTAAAGGGGGTGGATGGGAGAGGTAAGTGCCTACGCTCAAACTTCCCCTTCCCTGAAGCCACCTTCCCCAGGCCACCTGCCCTGCTCTACACACAACTCCCAGAGCAAATCCCCAGAGAAAATAGGAGGAGAGAGGCCAAGATAAGCCACTGGTCAAATGTTTTTAAATTTGTTGAGTGTGCTGCTGCCCAAGCCCTCAGGCCTGGGCCACCATGGATGCCAGGAGAGCAAAGGTCACTCCATATAGTTAAGCTCTCACATGTGAGGATGTTGAAAGACATACAGACATGATCTGGGGCAGCTGTTGGTATCTTTCCTCAAACAGAGCATCAGATTAGCCTTACAAGTCCAAGTCACCCTTTAAACTCATTGCCAACTTAGCTTCTTAATTTTGGAGACTATATCATGTTAGAATCTGTGTAGTAATGATATAGTGTGTCTTCTCTGAACACATCCAGAGTTCTCTTCTTATAACCCTCTTTTAAAAGCAATACGAATATGCCTTTTGTTTCTAAGGTGGAAGATTAAGACAGAAACATCATGGCCTTAATTTTATAGCTAATTCAGACCGAAGTGGGCTCTGAGCTTGGTTTGGCCTGGTTCTTGCCTCCACTTTCTTGGTGAGGGTGGACCTAATCAAAGAATGTGAGTGCATGTTAGGGCTCTTACCATCCCCAAGAATTAGGCTGGCAAAAGATCAAAGCTGAGTGTCGCCTGACAAAACACATTACTTGGTGTCCAGCAGTGAAGTGTCCCCCATGGCCTTTGAGCAGGGCCCATAATCTAACCAGTTCTTGGCTGCTGCCACCTTTTTTACAAGCTGTCACTGATTGAAATGGGAGTGGAGCGCTCTGACAACACGGGGCAGGGGTGGACCCTGCGTGACCAGAGTAGGCAGCCTTGGCATCCAGCGGGGTGCTTGGGAGCTGCGCTGGTGGAAAGGACTCCTCCTGAGGTTTCTCTGTCTTCCAGCAGATAGTGCCCGGCACCTGGACTTGCCCTGCAAGAGATCGTATCTGGAAGCTCCTTCTTCAGTAGCTGAGGATCACTATTTCCGCTCTCCACCTCCTTATGACCAACAGATGCTGAGCCCCTCTTACTGCAGTGAGGTGACCCCAAGAGAAGCCTGTATGTACTCAGGTTCAGGGCCTGAGATTGCCGGGGTGTCAGGGGTGGACGACTTGCCCCCACCCCCTCTGGGCTGTAACATGTGGACTTCGGTCTCACCGTACACCAACTACAGTGTTCAGACCATGGAGACTGTGCCTTACCAGCCCTTCCCCACGCACTTCACCGCCACCACTATGATGCCTCGGTTGCCTCCCATCTCTGCTCAGAGCTCCCAGCCTCCAGGAAACGCTCACTTCAGTGTCTACAATCAGCTCTCCCAGTCTCAGGTTCGGGAGCGGGGGCCCACCACCTCATTTCCAAGAGAGCGTGGCCTCCCTCCAGGGTGTGAGAGGAAACCACCCTCTCCACACCTGAACGCTGCCAATGAATTTCTCTACTCCCAGAGCTTCTCCTTGTCCCGGGAATCTTCCTTACAGTATCATTCAGGAATGGGGACTGTGGAGAACTGGACTGATGGATGACTCCTATTATCTCCTAGACAGACCCAGGACCATGTCAGTCCAGTATTAACCTCTGTGGGTGGCCTGCACTACAAGAAACCCTCACAGAAAGGTACTTCCAGAGGAATGTGTGTGTTTGTGTGTATGTGTATAATGGTGTATGTATGGGTGTGTACACACATGACTGTATCTGAGAGCATCTATCTTCTGATCTACAACTGAGGCCTGACAAGAAGAAAACAATGACCTAAGAAGTGATTTTGGCTGCAGGTCCTGAGTCTATCATTGTCTCACATCTCTAACACGTCTACACAGTGGGAATGGAGGGTTCATGTGAGTTGTTTAGGGAGGGGGTTTATATAATCCAATCTTTGATTCACTCAGGGGCCAGGCGATGAGGTCACTTCCACAGGGAAAGCTAGGGAAGATTCTATGCTAATATGGGCAGAATTCCGAGTTTAGAACTTTAGAGCTGTTTGAAGGGTGCTGAGGATATTGGTTTGAGAGCAGGGTACCCACTCCTTTGGCTTCTGGAGACCCTTTACGACTAACCAAAAGATGGGCTCCACCCTGCCACAAGGTTCTCTGAGAGGCTACCTGACCCCTCATTTGGTAGCCTGGAAATATAGCCCCAGAGCCCTGAGAGTTAAGGCACGCCTTTCAGAAAAGGTCATGTGTTAAGTGCCAGCTGATGGACATTTTTTTTTTCTCCCCTTCAAGAGCAGGGAAAATGCCACCAAAAGCATTTCTGTCATCATTCAGGTTTTGTCATAAAGTACAAAGCGCCTCCCTCTGCCCAGCCCCCTGACACACAACCTCTCTCTCTGTCACGCAAGACTCAGCCTTTCAGGCACCATCTGCATCCTGCGACTGGCCATTATGAAACACACCTCACCTGGCACCAACCCCAGGAGACTGTGCTGGAGCCACTGCCAGGCACCTCCAGAGCCTGCACTGCTCCCAGAACCCCAACAGAAATAAAAGAGAGAATTGAGAAAATATTCATTTCTTCCAGAAAACTTAGCCAGTCAGTTGAGAGGAGCCAGGATAATTCTTCTCCCCGTGAGGTAGCTCTGTAGTCTTTCAGCCCAGATCTCTAGCATCAAACGTCACCAGGCCATCCATGTGGTGGGTGTGAATTCCAGAATAAAATTTGAGAAATCACTAAACTTTTGCATGCCAAATAGCTATTTATATATTATATTAATAAATAAAGAAATATATCTATATATATCACAAATGCAGGCCACATGTCAAATCCAGCTTTGCTTCTTACAAATGAATAAACTTAAATAAAAATGAACATTGCAGGGGTATTTGGAGACACATCTATTTAAATTTTTATTACACATTTTAATGCTAAAACTAAGAATGGTTAGATAAAGCATATATATTTATATATGTTTGTGTATATACACGAACACACTACAGATAAAGCTTTATTAGAAACCACATTAGCTAACAGGTGTTTTGTTATATAGCATGGACATTTTATTTTACATATCAGAACATAAAGCCATTTTACAACTGTGAAGTGTGTGGATGATTTTTACTACTGACTTGTTACTTCCTGGCTCATCAGTGATTTCTGCCTCCCTTTTTGCTTGTTATTTTCCCCACACAACTCAAGAACTTAGTGAGGGCTTTAGTGTTTCTGAGCACATGTACCATAAGCTCAGACAGAATTTAGAACCAATGAAGTACTTGTTTCTTCAAGGTTGTGTTACTTCATGGATTATAGCTCTGGATTCTCCATCCCTTTCCCTTCATGGCTCTTTCTCCGTAACTGCTTAACTTCACTCAATGTCTCTATCACAGGCTGGTCTGAGAACCCAGGTAGGAGGTTCCCTTAAGTCTTCATCTGGACTAAGATGAAATTTCCTGTTGGGTCAAAGGTTTCAGTACACTTGAGTCCTCCCCATGCCAGAAGGCCAAGCTCTTTCTTCCTTTAATTCCTATATAGCTGGCTCCTGTGACCTTGTTGACCACAGGAAAACTTACTGAGCTGGACTTGGGAAGGAGAAGGGAAGAGGGTTCTTCCTAACTCATCTCCTCTGCTTTTTTATCTCTGAGTTAAAGGAATGCCGGGATCCTCCATTCTCGGAGGACTTTCAAGAATCTCAAGCAGAACTTTGGGGGCTGGACGTCTCTGAATCTGTCTCTGTAGACACACAGTTGATGGAGTCTGGGGTAAAGAATGTAATTTCTTGATAAGTGTTCTGCTTGTAGGCAGCCCACGGCTTCCTACCAACTCTCTGAGTAGCACAGGGTCCCCGGGTTACCTCACCTGGGCATGGCTAGATCATGGCCTGCAGTGGGATTTTGTGGAACTTTCCTGCCCCTCTGAATGAACAACTCCATAAAATGGGGGCACATGGGATATCCTGGAACAAAGGGCACCATTCAGTAGCGCCAACAGGTCATACATCATGGGGCCAGAAACCCGCCACATGAAAAGTGTCAGCTTCTGCAGTGCCCGGCCTGGGAAGGAGGCCCGGGGGGGTGGGGGGACCCCCAACCCTAAAAGGATTAACCTTCAGCTTCATATCCCTGGGTCGACAGCAAGCAGGGCTCTGCATCCCTGTCCAGCCCAGACCAGACTTAAGACCATGGTGGGGAAGGCCAGCCAGGCCTCTCAGCAGCACCCAACCGCCCACCCTCCAACACGAGAAGTCTGCAATAACAAAAGGGAGAATGAACCGAGGAGCTGGGTCAGACTGACAAATTGTTAAAAAACCAAAGCAACTTCCAGCTAGGCTGGGCCTCATGGGGTCAAGAGGCCCCAACTCGCCCCACTAATGGAGCCTGCTGGAGGAGCTGCAGCCTCAGTTTTGCAGTGTCTTATCTTACAACATAAAATTAAAACCCACTTAAAAGGCCGGAGGGCATGTTAACATTCACCCTGCTGTCTAATTGAAGTAGTTCCCAGTGCAGAGGATTGCGCTTGAAAGATGTCTCCCCGCGAGGCTGCGAGGGGAAGGCTGGGGGGGCGGCGGATGGAGTGGGGCCAGACGCCATTGCGAGCCCAACACGAGCTGGAAAGCCCAGCCCCAGGTGGCAGGTGGCGACAGCAAAGGTTATAGCAGGCTGGGCTGTTGTGTATTTTTCAAAAATCTTACAAATTCATTAGCCGCGATGCCAGCAGGGGCCAGAGTCCCGAGGAATGCCTCAAACATGGCGGCCTCGGCGAGAAGCCCGGTGGGCGCCGCGGCCCGGAGAGCCCGCCCCCGCCCCCAGCCACCTTCCTCCAGGCAAACACATTACAGGGCTCGAGGCATACGGAATCAATCAGGGGCATCCTGTAAAGGTGATGAACTTGCACCGGCCATCTGAGTAATGGGAACCAGTCAGCCCGAAGCCTGAAAGCCAAGGGGACTCAAAACCAAGGTGACAGCTATTAAGCAATTGTGCGCAGAACAAAATGGCAAAGGGGCCAGGTAATCAATTCAATTTTCGATGGGCAACCCAAGCAACTGCAGCCTCTGTCGCGGTCGATTAGGGAGGGCCCAGCTGGAGCTTTCAGGGGGAGCCCATAACAGATCAGAAACAGGCCCCCGATGAAAAGCGAAAGAGCTGTCTCCCGAGGAGCCGGCCATGAAGGCCTCTGCTTTATGTGACTCTGTTCTTCCTTGGCTCCTTGAAGAAGAAGTAGGGGGGAAAGCAAGCCGTTTGGAGATTAGATAGTTTTCTTCAGCCATTTATCATTATGAAGGAAAGTAGACAGGGCAGGGGCAGAAAAATCTCCAGTGGGATTTCTGTGAAGTCTCACTAAGAAGGTCCAGGTTTACACGCTGCAGCTCAAACAGCCCCTGGTTATTACCACCGTCTGACGGGGTCTGCAGAGCATCCAGAATCCCTCTTTCTCTAACGAGGACAAGCAGGCACCCCGCCTGCTCTGATGGCCATAGAAATTCTCCTACAGAAACCCCACACCACCCAATGGTATTATTTGTGAAAATTCAAGGCCAAATCAAATCATGCAGAAAGGAGGACAATAAAAAGATGTAACAGGGTTGTGCTTTGTTCTCCTGGTTAGACCTCAACTGTGTCCCCCTATATTTTACCTGGGCCTAGGTCATGGCAAGGCCAAAGACAGACCACAGGAAGAAGCAGCCTACTGGAAAATTCTAGACTCATCTTTAGTGGTTCTGTACTGGTTTGGGGGAAGGGCTGAGCAAGAGGCCTCTACAGCCTTGGGCAGTGCAGAGGCTGAGAGAAGTCGCTGTGCTGATGGCAAAAGGGGGCAGAACCAGGAGGGAAAGACCACAGTTGGGACAGGAGGAATCCCAATGGGGGCAAGGTCTGGTGATGAGTGAAGAAGGGCTCACTTAGAAAACTGGAGCAATGGATTCATGGGAAAAGAGGAATTCTTAAAATGAATTCTAAAAAGAGGAATTGCAAATGGAATGGATAATTCACTAAAAGAAAACACACTTCACTAGTAATCTAAAAGGGAGCTAAGGTGGCGTAGTCCATACGGAGTTGTGCTGTTAACCCAAAGGCTGCACATCCCTGGTGGTTCAAATCTACGAGCAGCTCCACAGTAGAAAAATGGGCAGTCTCCTCTTATGCAATTTACAGTTTCAGAAACCCAATGGAGGGTCAGATATGAGTCAGTCCTGACTCAGTAGCAGTGAATTTTTTGAGTTATCTAAACAACAAATTATAAAATGCAACTTTTGGCTCACAAATAAGTGAACATTTAAGAAAAGATAGGAGATCTATCTCTCAGCCATTGCTGGAGGTTGTAATCTTTCTAGGGGAAAAAATGTCTTAGCAGGGCCAAAAGCTCTAAAAAAAAAAAGTCCATGTCCCAAAGAAAATAATCAGGAATGTAGACATAGCTTAAAGGTTTATAATGTTCATTGTGGTATTACTGTCAGTGGTCCCACATCGGTAGGGAGTAAATTATGGTTAAGTAAATTATGTTATACCTTCATTATGGAACATGATAGAGTGATTAATAGTATATTTACGGGGAGCTCTGGTGGCCTAGTGGTAAGGAGCTGCAACTACAATCC